TCTCCCCCAACCCCCAGATATAAATTCCCAAATTTCAAAACCTCTTTGAGCTGGGCCACTCCTTTGTTATTTTGCCAATACTCATATGTTAATATATTTTAACACCTATGTAATATCAATTTATGTAAGAAATTTTATTTTTCTATAAGCATAAAAGTAGTAGTTTGCCGAATTTCTCTGTATACGGAAGCAGTTCTGTGTTTTTTTGCTAAATGTTTTACAGGGAATCAACCTATAGGCCTGATGGCAAACACCTCTTGAACATCTTCTTTTAATCATGTCATATTTTGTTTCCTCTCTATGTAGCAAGAATATTTTGCTTCATTTCTTTTTAATATCTGTTTTTTTAGAGAGGAATCTGGGTAGAACCCTTAAATGTATTTGATGCTTTTCTAAATATTAAAACTTTCCCACATAAACTTAATGGGATTAGAGACAAAGGACTCTCCTTTGAAAGCTACCTGAATTTTCTTCTCCAGCGTGGAGATCATTTCTCGTTCACCTCTTTCTCTCTGCTTCCATTTCTCACTCCTTCATGAATCTCTGTCTTCCCTCCAGGAGAGGGCCTGTTGGAGGAAAGGGGTTGCAGGTTCAATCTTGACCCTGGCCCCCTCCACCCAAACTTTCCCTGTTACACTTCTCACCAGGTCTGTCTTACTCCAACATACATTACTCAGTGCGTTCATAAACCCTTTCAACCAGGCCTTTCCAGATCTATGCTAAATTAGCTCTTCCAACTAAATGTGAACGCAGCCCTCCTGCATTTAAAACCCTGAGTTATAATTACTTGATGGGTAGTTCTGAGGGTGAAGAGAGCACTGGTCAAATGTTTCTACTGAAAGCTCAGTGTACAGCTTAGCACCCAGAGGCCCAGGAACAATACTTGTTGAATGAATGAGTGGGCTCCTGATGCCCAATCTTTGATATAGTCAGTTTATCTCTATTTATTTCTTCAATTTTCTTTTTTCCCCTTGTTAGTTTACCATATAGGAATGCAAACCCTGGAAAGAGAAAACTGGTCTCTGAATTGATGCCTTTGATGGATCAAGATGACGCTGATGAAGTATTAAACTAGTTAGTACCTAGCAGGAGGATATCATTGCTCTTTGTCTTTGAGGGTTAAAGTTGTCGCAAAGTGGTCAGTTTCCATCAAATTATGTCCATATTGCCATCCAGAACTGGTGGGAGTACATATTAATAATACTGATAGTGGAGGGGAGTCTACTGGTGTTGTGAGGGGCCGAGAGGGAGAACGAGGGAGAGGCTTGGAATGACACAGCAGAAGAGAAAAGAGGCTCCTAGCTTGGGATGCACGGAGAAACTAGGGAAAGAAGTTTTAGGAAGAGTAGGGGGTGACTGTGTTGCTTTTGCTCTATTGAGAATCCTTTTTCTTAGTGATTTTCCTAAGGTAATCTTCTTAGAAAATAACACCTGGTAATTGTTAAAGTATTGCAGCTAAGGATAATGCATCCTAAGTGACTCCAGTCGTGTCTGACTCTTTGCGACACCATGGACTGTAGCCTGCCAGGCTACTCCTCTGTCCATGGGATTCTCCAGGCATGAATACTGGAGTGGGTTGCCATGCCCTTCTCCAGGGGATCTTCCCGTCCCAGGGATGGGACCCGCGTCTCTTTATGGTTTGGATTCAAACCTTGACGTTTCAAAATGAACCGCCCAATGCCTTTGGTCCAGGGGGGGCATTTCTGCAGAGACCGCTTTCGTCCTGAGGACTGGGCTCTCTGCTCCTTTCGTCGGGTTGTCTTCCCCCCGCCCCTAGCGTCCCCTCATCCAAAACCACTCCTGGACTTTCAGCTGTGTCGTGGCTGCGCGGGCCATCACCGTCCACCGCGGACCCGCAACCCATACGACCACCTGCAGCTCTTTCCTCCCGGGTTGGTTACAAACTGGCGGGCGGCTCGGATCCCCTGGTTTCCTTCTCCGCTACTCCCAGCTGTGGGGAAGTAGGGTATCAGGGATCAGTCTTGGGTGGTGGTTGAACGCCAGGCATAAATTCTATGGTAGTATTGGTGAGGAAAACGCCAGGTAGGCGTCTTAAGGGGGGAGACGTGACGGAACCATAAGGGGAAGACTATCACTCTTAGGGAAAATGATGATGAGTGTCAGCTCAGACCGGAAGAGGTAGCGTGGCCGAGCGGTCTAAGGCGCTGGATTAAGGCTCCAGTCTCTTCGGGGGCGTGGGTTCGAATCCCACCGCTGCCAGGGCTGTTTTCTTTATTGGGAGACTGCCTGATAGACAAATTTTCTTCATGCCGGAAGTGGGCTGTTCTAATATCCTACAAAGTTAGTCCTTATCTCCCCCCATTTTGACTTCTGTTTACCCAAGGGCCATAGGTAACTACCTCAGAACAATGCTCAACGNTTTTCTATGTACAGTAGATAAAAGTTTTATTAGACTGCAGAATGTTGTTTCATGGAAATTAAGATAAACATGTTTCACACAAGACATTTTGCCATGAAGTGAAGTGAAGTTGCTCAGTCGTGTCTGACTCTTTGTGACCCCATGGACTGCAGCCTACCAGGCTCCTCGGTCCATGGGATTTTCCAGGCCAGAGTACTGGAGTGGGTTGCCATTGCCTTCTCTGTCACCCCACTTTAGGATTCTTTGAAAATGTACTGACTTTTTCACAGGTAAAGTATCTGAAACTTTTTCAGCGTTTTATCATCATGTTCATTTTCAGTGTTAAGGGGATATCAAAAGATTCCTGGAGTTTGAGCTAGTAATGTGGGGATTTTTAACTGCAGGACCTGGAGTCAGTTGAGAGTTTTAAAGGCAGCTGTACATCTGAAGTGAACAAAATATTGTAAGTCAATGATACTTCAATAAAAACAAATAAAGCCAGGTGTCACAATCATAGGACTATTTTAGGGAGACAACGGTCATGTTGAAGACAGACACATGAGGATGAAGTCTACTCTATTTGGGCTCAATACAGAGGTTGCTCAACTTTCACAATGGGATGTCAGGCTTGCCACCTCCTTCAGTTAACCAGCATTTGAAAGATATGACCCTGCAGTCAATAACACAAAACAGCAACACTCCAGGATTGTCCAGAATTTAAACTGGAGTTGAAACTTTGCCAGATTCTGTTAGAAGATGGACTAAAGAAGCGACATGAAAGGATGCACTTGAGGGTCCTCATGATGGGCTAAGGACTTCTGAGTCCAAAATCTAAATGCACATCATAATTTGCAGGTAAAATAAACATCCTGAACATGTACATATATTTTACAACAGCATATATGACGTTGTAATTAACAAAACCTCAGATTTTCTGGAGAACATGACAACATTTTGCCATCAAGCAATAAAGTACAACTATTTGTAGTATGTGTATACATGAGGGAGAGGGTGTTGGTGAAAAGTTTTCATCATCAAATAAGGCGTCTTCATACTCAAAGAAGACTAGAAAAGCACTATGAACTCTCCAGACACATCCTGAACTCTGTTCTTAAGTCACATTGTATCATCTGAAAGCCACATATACAGAGTTTCATCTTCCATAGAAACAATTTCAAAGTTAGAGCCTAAATGTTTTCATCTCAGTTTTCTTCAACAAGCTATATAAGAAATGCCTGTATAAGGAACATGCTGTAGTATCCTGTAGACACTGAACCTAAAGACCAATGTTTAATCTTATTAATGTGTAATAAGCCATGTAATTCCCTTTGGAATTTGTTACTAGAAAATTGTGTATCTTGGACTTTTTGTCCAATTAGATAAGGTGTAACCATTTCCAAAAATGTTTTCTGTGAAACAAGAGGGTATGAAGGTGCTCCTCCAAACAGGATTCTTTTTGTCCTCCCCTTTGGGAAAGCAATGCTTCTTACAGTTCCCTTGTTTTAAAATTTAGAAAGGACATCAGCATATTATAAACCCTGAGAAGTCTTTAAGGGAATAAAAATCCCCACCTAGCCAGCATTTCTTAAACTTGTTATTTTTAAAAAACATTAGCTTGTAAAACACCTTTGACAAATATTGGATAACCCACTGCTCATCTCTTTCTTGGCCAGTCAGGGAACTGAGAACTAAATTTAATTCTCAGTTATGGTCATTATGTTAACTGACACACACTTGCATCCTCTTCTAGGATTTTCAATTTCTATCTTAGTAGCCTTATTGAATGTGGTGGTTTAGTTGCTCAGTTGTGTGTGACACTTGCGATCCCACAGACTGTAGCCCACCAGGCTCCTCTGTCCATGGGATTTTCCAGGCAAGAATACTGGAGTGGGTTGCCATTTCCTTAGCCTTATTGCATGTGTGTATTTAATTCTGTCTGCAGTAAGAACCTGTAACATTCAAAAGAGAAAGGGTAGATGTTAAGAGACACTGAAAGACTTGAAAAGATATACACTTATTAATCCTTGTGAAAGAGCATTTCATATGTCATGCAGATAGATAAAACAAATATTTAAGAAATCAACGCCATGAAGACCTTTTAGTACATTTATAAGACAGTGGGGCAGGCTTCATGCTCTTTCCATATGTAAACTTCCACTTGAGCTGTGGACACTTGACCTCTCTGTGTGTACTGTCACTTCCAACTCTGCAACCCCATAGACTCTAGTCTACCAGGCTCCTCTGTCAATGGAATTTTCCAAGCAAGAATACTGGAGTGGGTTGCCATGTTGTGCTCCAGGGGATCTCCCTGACCCAGGAACTGAACCTACATCTCTTGCCTCTCCTGCATTGGCAGGTGGATTCTTCACCACCGCGACAGCTGGGAAGCTCACACTTGACTTCTACTTACTTGTAATTAAAAAAGTCTGCCTTTGCCTTGTCTTCCTTCCTCTGCTGAATCGCAGAAATTCTGAATCTATATAGAAGAGTACCATTTAAGTTTTAATTTAAAATTTGCTGGAACTTCCCTGGCGGTCCAGTTGTTAAGACTCCTTACTTCCACTTAAGGGGCACAGGGTTGGTTCTTGGTCAGGGAACTGAGAACTGTGACCAAAAAAAATAAAAAACTTACTAAAAGTGATCAATGTTTATTTATAATAAATTTATTAATTTACAATAAAAGAATGCTCTGTGCTAAACTGAGGTATAGCCTCACATTCAAGAAATGTGGTACAGGATTACAGAAATTGCTCAGAGAAGTCTGAGCATTCAGCAGGCATTTGTTTAGAATTTACCAGTTACAGGATCCATAACAGGTTTCTTAATTTTTTTATGCCTCAATTTCCTCATCCCACAGGGACGCTGTATGGATTAAATGATTTAAAATTGTAAAGAATAGTGCCTGGCATGTGTTGGGCACTAGTATGTAGTATTACAGTACTAATATTGATAGACAAAACCTTGGAACTGAAGACACACTGAATGGGAAGATGAAGGACAAAGGCTTGAGGGATCTCACAATTAGAGAGGTCAGGGAACCAGGAAGAACCAACACAGGAGACAAGAGGGATCAGTATAAGAAGTAGAAGGAGAAATGAGAAAGTGTAAACACCAGAATCACTACTCTCAGGTGTTGGTGGTCAAAATATTTATGAATGAAAAGGTCTGAGAATCAGTTACTAGAGAGAGAGATTTCCCACTCTCCCCAAGTTTGTGGGTTTCCCACACTCTATGTTTTCTTTTCTTATGTCTAGTAAGATTTGAACTCACTCTGAAAGCTTTTCCACACTCCTCACATACATAAGGTTTCTCTCCAGTATGAACTCGCTTGTGTCCAATCAGGGCCGAGCTCTGACGGAAAGACGTGCCACACTCATGGCAGGTAAATGGCTTCTCACCCGTGTGGATTCTTTTGTGCTGTCTCAGGACTGAGCTCTGATGAAAGACCTTTCCACACACCTCACACCTGTAAGGCTTCTCTCCGGTGTGGATTCTCTGATGATTGGTCAAATTTGATTTCCCACTGAAAGCTCGACCACACTCTGAACATTTATAAGGTTTCTCTCCAGTGTGGATTCGTTGATGGATGGTAAGGCAGTGCTGATCTTGGAAAGTTTTCCCACAATCCCCACATCGATGAGGCTTCTCCCCGGTGTGTCCTCGTTCATGAGCCCGGCATTTACAGTTATGATGAAAGGCTTTCCCACACTCCTTACACTTGTAAGGCTTCTCTTCGGTGTGGATTCTTCTATGTTTGGTGAGCTCTGCTTCGTTGCTGAAGGCTTTTCCACACTGAGGGCACCCACAATGTTTCTCCTGAGTGTGGAGTCTTCTGTGTTTGCTTAGGTCTGAGCTCCAGCTGAAGGCCCTCCCACACTCATTGCACTCATAAGGTCGCTCCCCAGTGTGGACTCTTGTGTGTTTGATGAGGTCTGAACTCCCACTAAAAGCCTTCCCGCACTCCTCACACACATAGGGTTTCTCCCCAGTGTGGCTCCTGTTGTGGATGATGAGGGAATGCTTAAACTGAAAGGCCTTCCCACAGTCACTGCATTCATAAGGCTTCTCTCCTGTGTGGATGATCTGATGCATCCTGAGACAGTACCTGGTCTTGAAGGCCTTCCCACAGTCACCGCACGGGTGTGGCTTCTCCCCACTGTGGATTTTTTTATGTCGGCAAAGAGCGGATCTACTACTGAAGGCCTTCCCACACTGGGTACAGTTAAAGGGTTTCTCCCCTGTGTGGATTATCTGGTGCATGGAAAGTTGATTTTTGGTCTTGAATGCTTTCCCACACTCATTACACGCATAGGGTTTCTCACCAGAATGAATTCGCTCATGGAGAATTAAGTCAGAATGCCAACTGAAGTTTTTTCCACATTGGGTACATTCATGCTGCTTCTTTTCTGTAAGAACTCCATACAGAATATATTCTGAGTTTGGACTGAAGTGTTTTCTAAGTCCCTTCTGGTTCTTTCCTTTCCTAAAAGTCACTTTCTCACAGCTTTCTTTCTTTTCTCTCCGTTTCTCCCTCACAGGCATTTCCCATTGATTCTCTAATTCGACATCTTGTACACAAACTTCTCCAACCTCTGGATCCTGGGAAACAACTTTTAGGAGACTTCTAAATTTCACCCAGCACACTTCTCCATTTTCAAAAACCTCCTGTTCTGATCTTGCCTTCTCATTCTCAGGCCACGTCTTGGCGGCTGTAACAAGAAAATAAAAATGTCAGATGTTCAGAGGAAAGGAGATAAGTGAGTTGGAACAGGGGAAGCAATGGTAAATTGTTGGAAGAGTAAATGACTTTCTCATGCTTGAAGAACTGCTAACATTATGGCAAAGGTCATATGGCAAAGGAGGCTGAAACACTGAAGAGTACGAAGATATTCAAAACTGAGTAAACCTGACAAAAATCCTTCCAAAGTCTACTCATGTTCTGGAATCTCCTAGTTTCGCGAATGATAACTTCATACACCTAAGCCCCTAAACAGGAAACTGGAAATCATTTTCAACTCATTCTAATACTCAGTAACATTTTACAGACGTTACCAGCGAAGTGAGCTGCAGAGGTGGTGCTCAAGTGCCAGTGTAGCCCCCTTTGTGAGGATCTGTCTGCTTTGTTCCTGGAGAGCCATATTTCTGTGGTGTACCTCTGCCCACTTGGGTAGGACAGGTTAGATCTGGGGAAGACCTGATCCAAACCAGGCCAGATTCTCTCCTCATGAACTCTGGAATCATGATATGAGAGCAGGTAAGGCCCGGCTCTGAAGACGGCTGGATCTTTAGCACTTAAATTTGAGTGGTGTTGGGATGTGGGTGTTGTATAGGGGATGGACAGCTCTGTCACTGGGACTGACAAGCAGAGATGGATCTGCCAAGAAAGAAGAATGGAGCAGACCCACAGAGTGGCAGAGAAGACAGCTGAAGAGCAGGGCCTGATGGCATTCCAGCCCTTCTTAAGCCTCTTGTATACCTACTCTTAAGTTCCATGACACCCTGAGTAATAAGTACATTTGCTTTCTTTTGCTTAAGGTAGCTTGAGTTAATTTTTACTATTGGCAACCACAGTCCAAATCTATCTTATTATCTCCTAACTCTATCCTTTCTTCATCTCTATTTCGAGTGCATTCTCACTAGCTAACTTCAATACCCCTCAAAAGTCCTTTAGTCTGCTTCCTCTCTAATCCATCCTGTACACTGCTTCCAGATTATTCCTTCTAAAAATCAGATCTAATCACATCACTTTTTAGCTTAAAACACTTCAATGGTGCTCCATAGTTAACCAGACAGGAAGTAAAATGTACAGTCAAGAGCCCCAGCTCACTGTCCTAGTTCTGACACCTAATAACTGTGCCAACTTGGGAGGATGATGTAACTTCTCTCTCTGACCCATTGTTTTTATCAATAAAATGGGATCTAGGTTACCCATGATAATGAAATGAGTCAATGTATGTAAAGCACCTGCAACACTGAAATAAGTACTCAATCATCTTACCTGTTAGTATAAGAATAAAGTTCAAGGTCTGTAGTTTACCAAAAACTCATTCAGTCATGATCTTGCCCCTGTCCACTGCTCCTGTAGTGTCTCCACTGGCTACTGAAAGCCCTTTACTCTGGTCATACTGAACTATTCACAGTTCACATTCTTATTCCCCTCTGCCTAGAAGGACTCTCCCCTCGTTCAACGAAATGACCTCACTTATTCCACATAACTTAGTTCAGTTGTCGTTCCTCCTGCAGTCTTTTGGTCCCCAGGTCAGATTTAGGTGTTTTTCCTCTCTGTTTATGTATACCAGATGCTTATCCTTATCTACATATCTCAGTAAGTCCCATGATACTGGACTGTATAATTACTTCTTTACCTATTTGCTTTCCCCACTATAAAACAAGCTTCTGGAAGTCAGGGCCCATATCTTATCTGACTGTCTATCTCTAGAACCTTATATAATAGCTGGCACATAACAGTTGCCCAGTTATGCTTTTTAGATGGCAGGTAGGACTGAAGAGTAGATATTTGGATAGGGAAGCCGGAGTTGCCCTGTAAGCAAAGGACAATTTTTTTAAATGACAAATGTAGTAAATAGTTTGAATGAAGAGCTGGTAATATTTTATGACTGACTACATAAGAGGTTCAGGGAATGTAAAGAAAAGTAAGAAAGAGGTAGAACCAGATATAGAAATAGGGAGAGCTTAATGAAGAGACAGCCTTGGAGGGAGAGATGAGTTTGACTTTAGATATGTTGCTTACCAGATGACAATGCAATATTCAAATAAAAATCAATGCAATATTCAAATAAAAATCAGGAGTTAGAAACATGAGACTGCTGCCCAGGAAAGAGGTAAAGGTTACCTCTTCGGATGGCAGGCATCCAACTTCACAATAACAGAGAATAGAAAAAGACAAGGGTCAAAGGCTCAGGACTCCGAATGAGGGAAGGTCCTGAAAAAACAAACAAACAAAATCCCCTAAAATCCAGAGGCAGAAAAGCAATGTTCTCTGAGCATTGTAGTAAATGATACACAGAGGGCAGATAAATTGTCAGAGCCTTTTTGCAAGAAATTGCAAAAAGTCTATTAGATATGTTGCAGAGAGCTGATTAGATAATGACAGAATAATTACCCAAATAGTATGTTTTCTCTGCTTTTAAGATTTCCTAGATAGATTTCCTCTGGGCCCTTGAGGATGGATGGCCCACCACTAAGAACATTCTATAACCATTCTGTCACATGGAACACACAAGGGGACAGACAGCTTCTCTGGCACTCACCTGGATAGGAGCAGTTCAGGAACTCCCAGTCCTGTCGATCCTGAACATAGGGCTCTGTACCTTGCTCCAGACGGGAGATCAAAGGAGGTTTAGAAAATGAAAATCCTGGTTGTACAGAAGGAAGAAGGAATAAGTGTGTATAGCAACAAAGAACTGCCCTAACATTTACTTTGATCCCTCTGTTTGCATATGAAAATAGGAAAGAAATGTCTATTTGGGCAGAGAAAAGCATTTATTCAGGGGTCTGGTAACCCGTAAATGAAACAGGTTGAAGGACTTTCTCAGAAGTCAATACTCAGAAAGGCAAAGAAAGAGTTTATGGAAAACTGTCATTGGTTATATTTTCCCTGTTCTTTTTAGGAGAATGGGAGTTTGTAAAGGAAGGCTGATCTGCTTTCAGCCGCTAGGAAGGAGTTCATGACTAGGCGATGGATACAAAGCATTTAATGGAAAATGAGAGGCTTGAGAAGGCAAGAATCTAGGGAGAACAGAAGCTAAGGATTTCCATTCTATTCAGAGAGACTTTCATTTCAGAGAATCAGAAAACAGCAACTAAGTTAGCCAGGAAATTCTCTTGCTAGGTAAACAGGGACAACTCAAAACTAATCTGGGAGGAAGAAGCTGATGATAAAGAATGAGGGCTCTGATTTTCAATATGAGACCCCATACACATCAACAAAGCAATGAAAAGAAAAAGGAAGGGAGAAAGTACTAAGCCAAGTGCAGGGAAAGTTCTTACCAAGTGACACCATGTTCCCATAATTTTCCAACATCACATCTGTATAGAGGTGCCTTTGAGCGTGGGTCAGACACTGCCACTCCTCATAACTGAAGTTCACAGCTACATCCTCAAATGTCACTGACTCCTGAAACAACATGTTCCTGCTATTGTGGGAGGAAATTTCATAGTTCCCTCAGGAAACAGAGGCAGAAGAAAAGAATTTGTAGGGAGAAGGTTTACAGAAGTGAAAGGCTGTTACTGTTTGGTGTGAATCTGGGGACGAGGTGAAAGGAAGCTTAGGCTTTCAGTAGCAAAAAATAACGAAAGAACAAACAATCCACAAGTGGTCTGTCATCCAAAAAAGCATCCCTTAGGAGAGGGAGCACCTGGACTTGGGAGTGGCATAGCCAGGTAAGGGAGTGAGGACAAGGACACATTTAGGAGACAGAGATATATTTTCAGGAAGGAAGGAAGGGGCCTTAGCTCACTTGAGGCTGGCTCATCACTGTATGTTTTGCTCCTGGCAGGTTTCCTTGGCTTTCATCTCTGGCTAAGGCAGGGCACTGAGGAAATGGTAGAGCTGAGAGAAGGGAAATAAGCCTAGAGTCAATTCAGCACGGTGTTAATGAAGCCTACTTTCATCCTCTCCTCCCCCAATGTAGAAACTTATGAAGCTCTGATCTAGGGGGTAAGTCGACTGCGTTACAGTATCCTCTTTCTCCATTATTCCTCTAGTCTCAGTTTCCAGTGTGAGGTATCATGACCTGGCCAGCACCAAGCCAACTGTAAGTGCACTCTTCTTTCCTCTCACCTTCTAAATCCTTTACTCTGTCTCTCTTAATCCTAGAAGACCTAAAAGGCCCAAATCACTGACTACCAGCTTAATATGACAGCTTGGCTTCCTGTATTTGAATGTTGCAGTAATTTTGTCCAGAAAGACTTGGGGTGAAGGTGGAGGGGAAAAAAGGAGAGGTATGGATCAGAAATATCCACGGAGGGAATTCCCTGGTGGTGCAGACACAAATTTGATCCTTGGTCAGGGATCTAAGATCCCACTTGCCACAGAGCAACTAATCCCGGGCACTGCAGCTATCAGGTGAAAGACCTTGCATCCGCAATTAAGACCCAATGCAGCCAAATACATATATTTTTTTAAAAAGGAAATATAAATAAATATAAACAAAAAGGGATAGGTCCAAAGCTTACTTCTTTATGTAACTTACTAGTTGGTCTACTTCCACTTAGTTCACTAGAAAAATTTTTTTTCTTGTTCTTATTAGAGAAAATCACTTTCCCCCTTTGATTCTGAGTCTTTTTCCTGTTAATTCCCTAGTATTAAGCAATTCGGCTCCCCGCCCCCAACTGCCCTTCCAGTACAGTATAACACACTCCACTTTTTAAAATGCAAAAGAAACTTTCTCAGAGTGTACAAATGACCAGGTATGATCCATATGGATTGGAAAAAAAGTACAGTTTCTCAATACCGGTTAATGGGGCCCCTGTTTTATTCCTTGCAGGCCAACCTGGCCTTTCTGTAGCTTCCATGTTTATGGTAGTTTATCTTTCTTGATAGTTATCAACATATTCCCCAGTCCAAGAACATTCCTTTCTGGTCTGAAGTCACCTATCAGTAAGACTCTAGGGTCATCCCTTGGCCTCAGGACCCCAAAACTATCACTTCAATTTCACCAAAACCTCAATTTAGGAAAAAACTGGCTTCTTTCTTCAGAAATGTGTCAAGAAGATTCTTCTTTGGTCTATGTCACCCTTAGCTTTTGATCAAAACAGGTCTGTGTTCACAATCATTGTGGATTCCATACAGTTTCCCCACTATCTCCTCTGGAAGTCTGTTACTTTATGACTCTTTGTCTCAAAAAGTTGGTTGGTTGGGAAACCAATCCCCTGGAAGGTACAGCTCACAAAATGTTCCATAACAGTTCTTTTCCTTATAATATCAATAAACTTTAACCTCCCAATTGTTTTTTTTCAATCACCATTTTATAATGAACATTTTCAAATATACAGAAAAGTTGAAAGAACTATATAGGAAACATCCATATACTCACCACTGACATTCTACTATTAACATTTTGCAATATTTGATTTATTGCATATCTGTCCATCTAACTATCTATAAATTCATTTTATTTTTTGTTGCATTTCAAAGTAAGTTGAAGACATTAGCATACATGACCCCTAACACTATGACACATATCATTAAAGTTGAATATTTGTTTATATTCTTATTTTTTTTTATATTCTTATTTTTAAAGTAAAATTTATATACAGTCAAATGTATAAGTCTTAAATTTTTGACAAAGCATATCCTTATTTAATTCCAACTTTCCTCCATATGCATCCCAGTTGGATGTTTACCATATCTTCTTCATAAATTACAAAACTTTTGTTACTTTGTAGTGGCTTTTTTCCCCTAAGTGTTCATTACATTAAAAACTGTTTTTAAATGTGGTAAAAAAAATATAAAAGGAAATTTACCATTTTAACTATTTTTAAGTGTTTCAATAGTGTTAAAATATTCACAGTGGTGGGAGGAGGATGAATATGTGGAACAGAACTTTTAGGGCATCAAAATAGTCTGCATACTACTTTAATAGCAGATACATAGTATTATTCATTTGTAGAAACCTATATAACTGTATAGCACAAAGCAATCCTAATATAAACTGCTGTTGCTGCTGCTGCTGCTAAGTCGCTTCAGTCATGTCCGACTCTGTGCGACTCCAGAGACGGCAGCCCACCAGGCTCCTCTGTCCCTGGGATTCTCCAGGCAAGAATACTGGAGTGGGTTGCCATTTCCTTCTCCAATGCATGCATGCATGCTAAGTCGCTTCAGTTGTGTCCGACTCTGTGTGATGCTATGGACAGCAGCCTTCCAGGCTCCTTTGTCCACAGGATTCTCCAGGCAAGAATACTGAAGTGGGTTGCCACTTCCTTCTCCAATATAAACTAGGGAGTTTAGAGTTTAGTTAATAATAATGTGTCAATATTAGCTCATCGCTTGTAACAAATGTACCACACTAAAATCTTAACAGATATCCAGAACTTTTTCATCTTGCAAAACTGAAACTCTATACCCATTAAACAACAAAACAATAACTCTATTTTTCCTTCTCCTCAGCCCCTGGTAACCACCGTAGTGATTTTTTCCCCCAGGAGTTGGTGATGGACAGGGAAGCCTGGTGTGCTGCAGTCCATGGGGTTGCAAATAGTCGGACAGACTGAGCGACTGAACTGAACTGAACTGTGCAGTGAGGCTCGTGGCACCTTAGTTCTCCCATCAGTAACTGAACTTAGGCAACAGCAGCAGTCCTAATGACTGGAGTGCGAGGGAATTCTCTTCACTGTAGTGATTCTTAAACTTTATTTCTTAGTTTCTGAATTTGAAAGGTCAGTTAAAAATGAACTTGGGGGAATTCACACATGGGTGAGAGTGTCCTTTTCTAAGGACATTCATTTCATCATTGGGGTTCCACCTTCATGACTTCATCTAAAATTGATTACTTCCCAAAGCCTCACCCCTAAATATCGTAACACTGGGTTGGGGGGTAGGGCTTCAACATATGAATTTTGAGGGGATAGAAACATTCAGCCCATGACAAAACTATTTGTTAAAACAATGTACAGATATTATCCAGGATGAGATTAACTCATTTACATATTATGCTAAGTAACTGTAAACTTTTTGGCCCTAAAAATCACTTATAGGAAGAGAATTCAATATCTTTTGAGAAAAAGAGGACTGGAATACTCAGGTCAGATGTGAACCATAAAATTATATATATTTTTAAACTTTAAAAAAATGAAATAAAATTAACAACCAAGTTAAGCAATATCCATTATTTTCTACCTCTTAAATTTGTGATAAATATGTTCTATAGTATTAATTTTTCCTTTATGATTACTTTACAGTAGAAATTTCAAGATTTCTCTTCTGGAAGTTCCAATAATATGCTTAGAAATTCATTTTACCTTTTTTTTTCTTTGCAGATAATACGTATCATCCTACAAGCCTATTTTAGGGGTGTCCAGGTGCCTAGTCCTCTGTCTAATAGCCTCTGTCTATACAAACCACTAGCGCCACCTGGCACTAGTGGTAAAGAACCCGCCTGCCAATGCTGGTTAGGTGTAAAAGATGCTGGTTCCATCCCTGGGTGGGGAAGATCCCCTGGAGAAGGGAATGGCAATCCACTCCAGTATTCTTGCCTGGAGAATCCCATGGACAGAGGATCCTGGTGGGCTACAGTTCATAGGGTCGCACAGAGTCAGACATGACTGAAGCGACTTAGCACACAAATCTTCTCCACTTTTCTCTTCGTGTATGCTACCGAAGAGCATTTCTAAAGCCCAGTCCCACATTTCCCCTCCTTTATTTTTTCCAAAGTTTCACAACAAAACCTTTGCTCCTTCTTTTGCCATGGCTTTATCTTATTTCTCAGGCATACCTATACTATAATGTAAAAATCTCAGGGTTAACAGATGTACAGAAATAAAATGACACACAATCAATATTTACATGTTGGTAAAACTGTGGTTGGGGAGGCGTTACCAAATTATACTACAAGTTTAACAAGTGCAAATATTCATGTACCCATATGTAAGCTACTTGTCATATATATATCGAGTTGAACATATAATAAGTGGATGAATACATTCAAAGCTTCCATAAACTGCTTTGAAGAACCTTTTCTTACGAATTTTTATTTTTTTTCCAAATTTGATTTAAGATGAGGGCAGAAACTGAATAATTTAGTTCCTGTCAATACCAGGCCAAGGCTAATATACAAAGAATATATTTTTCTATAAATACTCAATAATGAGCATATTCCCAGGCCCCAGGAAGCATCTCTCACCTAGTCTGTGTCCCTGCCCCATTTTTAGCTGCCATAACTCCTGCCACAATCCCCTGTGTACATTACCTCTTTCCTGTAGGAACATGGTATCAGGGATGCCAAACTGGTTTGGTGATCCTGGACTCTCTTCTGATACCACAATCTATTGCAAGAAATAGAAAACATTTGGAGAAGTTATGGAGGGACAGAAAATTTATGGTAAACTGCATATTGGTTGGTTATGCAACCAACTATAAAGTTCTATTCATGGAAATCAACTCTCCAAACTACCAAAAGGGGTGAGAAAAACAGGGGCTCAGTCTCCGATATACCTTATGAAAAACAGAAATGGCATCCAATTATTCTATAACTTAAAAACACCACCAGGTAATCCAGAAAAAGCATTTTGAAGGAGAAAACTTCCACACAGTCAATCCAAGCCCACCACACTTCATTGCTTTCCTCCTTTCCTGGACTCACTACTTCTTCCTCCTTGTGATTCACTGCAGATTCTCTTTTTGTTTTTACCAGCTGCATGTTTTCTTTTCCAGTCTTCTAATACTGTCCCAGTTTCTTCTCTGCTGGTTGGATCCAGCTCCTAAAGTCAATCCTGGCTTTGCCCAGATAACCAGTTTTGAAGTGGCTCCAGTGGATACTAGCCTCCTTTCAGGGATATAAGCCTTGGTGAGACCAGTCAAAGACTGCTCCTGACCCACAGGGAAGCTGCTTTTTGGTTTGATGTATCAATACTGCCCTAGATGTGGGGTTCATCAGCAGTAATAAGCTAGTGATGATCCCATACCTTGTTTTCCTGTATATTTGATGAAGAGAAGAGAGAATAGAGGGGTGTGACCAAAGTGAAAAGAAGGAATCACTGAGAATCTGGAGTATCTATGAGAGATGAGGGAGAAGAGGAACAAACTGAATATGATAATATATCCAGAATACAATTTCTCCTGCCACCATCTTGGTCCAAGCCACCATTGCTTGCCTTGCCCTGTATTGTGTTAGCCATCAAACTGGTCTCCTGCTTCTGTCCTTGTCTTCTACTTGTCTTTTCTCAATACAATAAAGTGGGCCATTTAAAACTTAAGTTGGATCATTTCAGTTCTCTGCTTAAAAGCCCTCAATGCGTCCATCTTACTCAAAATAAAGAGTAGCGTATAAGACCCTAAAGAATCTCATTGCATCGCCTCTGTTCATTCAAAATAAAAGCTAAAGTCCTTACAGGGCCATATGAGTCTACAGGGTTGCTACTACCTTTCCTACTATTCTCCGTCCCCCCATTCAACCCCCTTCAGTCCCACAGATCTTTCTCTTCCTTTTTAGGTACGGTTCTATTTTAGGGACTTTGCACTGGCTGTTCCCTCTATCTCAAACTATCCTCACGATGAATAATCTCGCCTCCTTCAACTGTTTGCTTGCATGTAATCCTCCCTAGGAAACCTACTTTATTTAGGTGCGCTATTTAAAATTACAGTCTACCACCTCCTTCCAATCATGACATGCCTTGCTTTCCTATACAGCACTTTCCAACAAGGTGCATAAGTTATATACTTTCCATTGTTTATTGCAGGTCTTCCTTTCACTATAATGTAAGCTTCTAGGCTTTTGAGAGCACGGGCTTTTTGTCTATTTTGTTCACTGCTCTATCCCTAAAGTTTAAAACAGTGCCTACACCAGGAGTCGCTCAGCTAGAAATTGGCCAAATGAAAGAATGCACGAATGGATGCTGGGGAGGAAAATAAATGAAAAAAAGAAAAGTAAACGGCCGCTGAGAGCAAGAAGAGCGCGGGGGAGACGGAGAAAAAAAATCCCTTGTCGGGCAGGAATACGCGGCGGACTCCAGATCCCGGGCAACGCGGCACCAAAGCCCCGCCCCATCCCCGCCCGCCGTTCCGGGCCCCTGGTAGGAGGTGTATTAATATTAAGATTTAAGTGAAGCAGGAGGTGGTGTCGGCCTCCTTCCAGCCGCCCCTCGGAGGGTTCGGAGACCCCAGTGGCAGCTTGGGAGCCCGGCAGCTACAGTCCCATCCCACGCTGGCTGGAGACACAGACCTTCCTGCCGATATTCTTCTCTAGAAATGACAAAATAAAGGAATCTGTTCTAGCTCCACTTCCTAGTTCTTCAATAATCATTTCCGGTGACTTTCTAGGAAATCATCAACTCGCTGGTTGAGGAGTTCCCTAGAAACCGTCCGCAACCGCAGCCCCAAACGTGTTATTTCTTGTTTTATGTTCTTCAGAATTCATCTCTTAAAACAGAACCACAATGTCATTATCCCAACTATCAAAATTAAAATAACTCCCGGGTACCATCTAATACTGAGTCCATATTTGAATTTCCCAAATACATAAAATATGCTGCTTTTTTGAATCAAGATCTAAAGTCTATGTACTTTATTTGGTTATTTGTCTTAAATCTTTTAAAATTTAGATCTAGGATAGTTCCTCCATCTTTCACTTTCTCCCCCATCGAACATATTTGGCCATTTGTCCTGCATATTCCACATGCTGGCTTGGTCTGAGTCCATCCCCATTTAATTTGTTTCTCTAGCCTTATATTTGTTAACCAGATGTTAGCTCTAAAGGTTTAGAGTTTGCTTTACCTTTATGGGTAAGCATTATTTTTAGGTGGTGCTACCTACTTCCTTCTGCTTTACATCAGGAGGCACATAATGTTGGATTATTTCACTCTCTGTGATGTTAAGATTCATCAGTGAATCAGCACTTGCTAGTTGGATCCTTCCATGTAAAGTTCATCAACCTTTCATCTGGTGGTTTCATCCACTGATGATCTTTGCCTGAATCAAGCATTTTATTGCAAAACCGGGATTTTCTAATTAAAAATTTTTTTTTCACATTTATGATTTGGAATTCCTTTTAAAAGGATTTTATCTCCTTAACCTGTAAATTCAGGGTTGTTTGGTTATTCTGAAATGTCAGTTCTAACAGAAAAGACAGAATAAATGTTTACCTTTCTATTTAACTGCCAATCTTCAGGGTAAACAGCCATGCCCTAGGTGCCATGGCCGCTGTTATTATACATTAACAACTTTTCAAAATAACCATCAAGGAGCACTGCCTTCCAGTATTCATACTTTTGTGTAGCTTCTTCCCGTATTATACCAGGGTTGGTTTGAGTGACCGATTGAGTATGGCAGAAATGATGTTATGTTACTTCTAATACTAGGTAATAAAAGAAACTGTGGTGTTCATCTTGGTCTCTCTTTTTCTCCCGTAGTCTCAGATCACTCACACTGGGGAAAGCCAGCTGCCATACATTAAGGAGAGACCCAGGTGGTGAGGAACTAAAGCTTTCTGCCAACAGCCATATGAGTGAGTTTAGAAGTGAAACTGTCAGCTCTCTGCCAAGCCTTCAGATGACTGCAGCCTGGGTCAACAAATCGGCTGCAACCTTAAGACAGAACCAGAACCAATCTCTGAGTTGCTCTCAGGTTCCTGACCTGTAGAAACTGTGTGAGATAATATTTGCTGTTTGACTCTAAATTTGGGGGTAGTTTATTATGCAGTAATTGGTAACTAATATTTCTTATTGTTTTCTCTTTTTGAACATCATTAACTCACAGATTTTTAAAAAACATTCAAGGAGTTTTTTTTTTTTTTCTTCAAAGGAGTCTTAATTGCAGTCATTATTATTTTTTCTTTTTGATGTTCAAGTGATTCCATCTTTGGCCAGTGGGAGTCCCTTTATTTTGTTTCCTGTGTTCTTTTCATCTAACTCTGAATCTTTGATAGTTTTTTTTTTTTCCTTTTTTTAGTTCTGGCAGGACAAGATATTTCAGGATCATTTTCTATATTTCTTGCTCCAGACCTGGAACTAGCCATTTCTCCAAGAAGTCTTGGTCCCTTTCAGTGGAATGAGTGATTGCATAGCTTTGTGAATGGTTATAACTTCTTTTACAGCTTATCAAAATCAAATAAAATTAACTTCATTATGAGATTGAATCCAGACTAAATTACTTGGTAACCAGGTGCATGTGAACCTAAGCAAGGTCCATGTTTCCCAAATGAGACAATATACAGAAATCATTTAACACATTCAGTTCAGTTCAGTCACTCAGTCGTGTCCAACTCTTTGTGACCCCATTAATCACAGCACGCCAGGCCTCCCTGTCCATCACAAACTCCCTGGAGTTTACTCAAACTCATGCCCATTGAGTCGGTGGTGCTATCCAGCCATCTCATCCTCTGTCTGGCATTAAATTTCATGATTCAAATGATAGAACTGCAAGTCTGAAAGAGACCCTAGTTTTGACCAAGTACAATTCATTCATTCACTCTTGAGAAACCTGAGGCCCAAGAGATTAAAATTCTGTCTAAAACTACAAAGGAGGATAAAATTAGAAAAGAAACTAATGACTCTAGAGTCCTGGATCTCATACTGGGGCTATTTTGATAAAAAGTAGTCTTCCAGACCTATCAGGGCTTCTATTTATTCAAAAATAAAAGAGATTTGAAAGCACTTGGCACATTAGTTATAAAACAGTGTTATACAAAGTTCATCAGTCTTATATTTTGAAGACCTGATTCCTGGCTCTGCCACTCACTAACTTGATATTTTGGGCAAGTCATTTAACTGCATTTAATTTGCATCTCAGTTGCTGCACCTATAAAATTGTAATAAATTCTTTAATCTCAGCTCATTGTAAGCATAGAGTTTCCCTGGTGGCTCAGTGGTAAAGAATCCACCTACCAATGCAGGAGATGCTGGTTCATACGTGGAGAAGGAAATGGCAACCCACTCCAGTATTCTTGCCTGGAAAATCCCATGGACAGAGGAACCTGGTGGGCTATAGTCCATGAGGTTGCAAAAGAGTTGAACACAACTTATTGACTAAACAACAACATAGTGAGGATGAAAATACAATATATATGAAAGTGCATAGCTCATAATTGCTAAATAATGATCATCATATTAAAAATTTTCTTCAATTCTCCAAATTAAATGTATCCTTTTCCTCTACAGGAAATTGGGTTTTGATTAGACTGATCCCTAAGTACCTAATTCTGAAATTGAGTTCAGGGAATACTGCACAAAGGCATTGAGCAAGAGGCTGCAGGAAAGATGCAATACATGGTCACTCACTGTCAGGGGATGTTCAACTTTAAGGAATCCACATGTTGTTTTCTTCTTTTGTGTTTTCTTTCTAAAGGGCCTCTATTCCTTATCAGTTCCTGGAAAATAGGAACAGCAGAGCTGCATGCAGGTCTCAGGACTGAGGTCATGAGAGAGAGCGCATGTGTGGATTCCCTTCAATGACCTTTTACTTTAACGTAATCTATTCAGCCACCTCCTTATTACTCAGGATATGGATTTTCTTCTGTCCCTGTGACGATTGTTATTCGCCTAGTTTTGTTTTTGCTCAACTTTATTTTTGCTGCCTAAAGCTTCCTTGTATGGAGATATATAAAGCACACGCTGCTACAAATCAAGTACCCTTGTTTCACTCGAGACTTGGGTCCCCTGTGTCCTTCTTCTCGTCGACTCCAGTCCCCAGGTCCTGGTCTAAAGACCGTGACAAGTGGCGCCCAAACAGGGACCTAGTGAACGCCCTTGGCAAGCGGACGGAGTGACTGTTAGGATCTACGGAGGTTGGTAAGTGCGGGGTTATGGGACGAATGGCTGGAAAGCCCCACCACTTTTCTACTTTACTTCACCATTTATTTAAGGTTCAAGGACTTTCCGTTTCACGTCAACCTTGTTTCCAAATGGTGGTTGAACATAATCCCTGGTTCCTCGATGAAGGTAATTTCAATTTCAATGGACAATATGGTTTCATGATGTGGCCTGACATCATGCCAATTCTAATGCTAGAGCTGGCGCCCCCCAAAACCAAATTACTTTTGAAATGTTAAGGGATACAGGGCAATTTGATGCGGCGAAAGCTCAAATACAATGCCCTCCTTTGTTGCATGAGCAATTGAAAGAAGTTGCCCTTGAAGCTTGGGATTGAATTACTCCTCAAGGGGAACCTAAAGGTAGCTACACTAAGATATCACAAGGGCCTAATGAAGCCTATGCTGATTTTTTAGCTAGACTGGAAGTTGCTATTTCCCGTAGTGTAACTGGAGAAGAAGCCAGAAATGATGAGCCTATTTGGACAGAGCAATGGCCCCTCACAAAAGAGAAAGGAGAGTCTACTAAGAGAAGGCAATGGCGACCCACTCCAGTACTCTTGCCTGGAAAATCCCATGGACGGAGGAGCCTGGTGGGCTGCAGTCCATGGGGTCACTAAGAGTTGGACACGGCTGAGCGACTTCACTTTCACTTTTCACTTTCATGCATTGGAGAAGGAAATGGCAACCCATTCCAGTGTTCTTGCCTGGAGAATCCCAGGGATGGCGGAGCCTGGTGGGCTGCCATCTATGGGGTCGCACAGAGTCGGACATGACTGAAGCGACTTAGCAGCAGCAGCAGCAGCAGCAGCAAGGAACCTATAGATACACAATTGAAATTAAAACATATAGAGGAATCTTGTTGTCCTTGGAATTCTCCCATTTTGTGGTAAAAAAGAAATCTGGGAAATGGCATCTCTTAACAGACCTTAGAAAAATCAATGCATCTATGAAACCTGTGGGTGCATTGCAACCAGGAATTCCATCACCTACCACTATTCCTCAAAACTGGCATATTATTATTATAGATTTACAAGATTGCTTTTTTACTATGCCTTTACACCCTCTAGACCAAGAGAGATTTGCTTTCTCTCTTCCTTATCCTAATCATGTCGGGCCTCATAAATGATATCAATGGACTTGTTGCCTCAAGGAATGATGAATTCTTCCACCATGGGTCAATATTATGTAGCCAAAGCCCTTGAACCTATGAGAAAACAATTTCCTGACTTTCTTGTTATTCATTTTATGGATGATATGTTGTTTTCGGCTCCATCTGTTTTAGAAACTCAACAAATGTTTGACATAGCTTTACAATGCTTAAGAGCTTCTGGATTAATCATTGCCCCTGAAAAGATTCAAACCTCTACACCTTACCATTACTTGGGATTTATTGTTAATAGACAACGTGTTACTCCCCAACTAACACAGATTCGTGTTGATAAATTATCAACCTTGAATGATTTTCAAAAACTTTTAGGTGATATAAATTGGATTAGACCCTCTTTAGGCACTGCAAATTATTAACTGACCAATCTATTAAATACTTTGAAGTGAAGTGACTCAGTCATGTCTGACTCTTTGCGACCCCATGGACTGTAGCCTACAAGGCTCCTCTGTCCATGGAATTTTCCAGGCAAGAGTACTGGAGTGGGTTGCCACCCTTCTCCAGGGATTCTTCCCAACCCAGGGATCGAACCCGAGTCTCCCACATTGTGGGCAGACGCTTTACCGTCTGAGCCACCAGGGAAGCCCTTTGAAAGGAGATCCCAATTTTAATAGCTCTCCTTCACTTTCACAAGAGGAACGGAAGAAACTGTTTAGTACAAAATAAACTGCAAAAGCAGTTTTTTACTCATATTAGGCTTCAATTACCTCTACAGTTGTTTATACTCTCCTCTCTCCATTCTTCCACAGGACTTCTTACCCAACAAGAATACCCAATAGAATGGATATATACTCACTTTAGAGGGACAAGGTCACTTACACCCTAACTTGATTTGATCACTCTAATCATTATCAATGGAAGAAATAGAGCTGGACTCTAATTTGCTCCGATCCTCATAAAATTATAATACCTATTAATAAATCTCAATTTGAGAACACATTACAAACTTCTACCGATTTCCAAATAGCCTCTTTGGAATATTTTGAAGAAATTTCATGTCATTGTCCCTGTAACAAACTTTGGAATTTCTTCAAAAATACTGAATTTATTATCTCTCGCATTGTCACATCACAACCTATACCTCAAGCTGATGTTTTCTATATAGATGGGACTAAAGACACCAAAGCCTCATTCTGGTCTCTCAAAGAATATAAAGTCTTTTATACTAAATTTCACTCTGCTCAACAAAATGAATTATATGCTCTTATTCAGGTTATGCACCTACATTCTTATCCTACTAATATAGTTTCTGACTCCTTATATTCAGTTTTTGTACTAAGAAATATAGAAACTTCTACCATAAATTCTAATCAATCTATTATCCAACAACTTTTTTTGAACTACAGTCTCTTATTAGGAACCGCACTTCCCCCATTTATACTACCCATATTTGAGCACATTCTTGTCTTCCTGGCCCTATGGCCCATGGCAATGAACAAGCTGATAAACTTGTCTCTTTTGCTACTACTGAGGAGCAACATGCTCTATTGCACAATAATGCTCGCTCCTTACACCAAATTTGAAAAACTCCATACTGCCATGCTAAGAAAATCAATAATTGCTCTGCTTGTAGACCCCCTACATCTTCAACCCATTGCACAAGGTATCAGTCCTTGAGGATTACAACCCAATGAACTATGACAAATGGATGTAACTCATTGCCCTGAACTTTCTCCCTCTTCCTTCTTACATGTCTCAATCTATACAAATTCTTCTTTTATATGGGCCACACCTCTCCGAGGTGAAACTACACAAGATGTTATAACTCACCTGTTAGCTTGCTTTGTAATAATGGGAACACCTAGTTTTATAAAAACAGACAGTGGCCCTGCCTATATTTCTAGTCAATTCAAACAATTTTTACAATCATTTTCTATTCAACATATTTCAGGTATTCCTTATAATCCACAAGCACAGGGCATAGTTGAACGAGCACATCACACACTGAAACTACAAATAAAAAAATTTTTAAAGGGGGAATACACAGGAACACTTCTATCTTCCTTATCCAGAGCAGACTTTACTAGATTCCAACGGAATATATTCTTTAATCCTATAACTACTGTTAATGCAGTTTTATTTGTTTTAAATTTTTAAAATTTACCACAAAGAGATATCTTGACAAGATATCTTGACAGAAAAACATTTTGAGGAACTGAAGGACACCTCTCTTCCTCTGCAGTTTTGGTATCAAGACAGGCTAACTAAACAATGGAAATCTGGAAATTAATCTTACAGGGAAAGGGGTATGTTTGTATTTCTCCAGATGGATCCAACAAAATCAATTGGCTCTCTCATCTGAAGATTTGCCCCAGGGGAGCCTCCAGCGTTCCAAATAGGAAAAAAAAAAAAAAAGACAAAATCCCCCAGAGGAAGAAATTCCAATATAGGCAATGGAGGCTCTAAAAATCTCCAAGAAGCACTGCCCTCGATGTCATGGACCTCACGATCTCCCTACTTGGGGACAAATAAAAACCTTTACTAATCAAGCTGAAAATCTGGTTTCTCAACAGGGAATGCCTCGGAATCCTGAAAATATTTTTGTCACTATGCTTGTTTTGCTTGCTTTTCCTTCCCCTGCTCAAGCTGATTTGATTAATCATACTTATTGGGCCTATACATCTAACCTCCCTTTATTGCAGGTTGTAGAATGGACAGATAAAGGACCGGTTGTATCCACTACTGACTCAGTACATATGCCTCCTCCTCGGAGCTTGGAGGGGCCTTCTCATCCTGAGGAAGAAGGAAGACTAATTAATATTTCTCTAGGTTAAGAAATCCTTCCTTTATGCATGGGCCCAGCAGAATTATGTATTAATGTTAGTCGACAAATGTGGGCTTTTGTCCTGCCTCCACAAAGAACTTTTGTACATTGCTCGGACTGTTTACTGCCTTATCTTTCTATGAGAACCATGTCAACACTACTAAAACTCTAGGAAAAGGACAAAAGTCATTATGCAAGGTGTTTACTTATAAGGACTTTAAATATACTCCTGTTTATTGGGATAGATGTCAAGCTAAATTAGGGAAATTAATGTTTGCAGCCAGTTACATCATTGTCGATTGGGGACCCCATGGTATGTGGTTATCTAACTGCTCAGATGATATTAACAGCACTATATATGATTATGCCACTCAAGTAGCATGGAAGGTTACCAAAACTACGGTGGAACATTTCCATGACAAAGGACTTGGCTGACTTGAGGGTGGAATAGCACCTCCTGGCCCTTGAATTGTCCTTAATAAACGGACTGGGCCTGAACAATGGGATATCTAGAAACTTGCTGCGAGCACCAAAGAACTTGGAACTTGGACTGGATAGTTCATAGGGACCAGTTGTAGTCATAGTAACTATTCCTTTCATTATAATCATTCATATTTCATACAGGCTTATGTTCCCCTTCCTATTGTTACAGCCATATAGATCTTACAGTTCAATAAGTTCTGTAACTTGTATAGATTGCAAACTATATACTTGTCTTAACTCCTCTATTTCTATAAAAAACAAATCCCTTTTGATTCTTCGATCTCGATGTAATCTGTGGTTGCCAGTAGATCTCCAACGACTCTGGGAGGAGGGTCCTATGGCAGGACTTGCCTCCCGGTTACTCACTAAATAACTCCGGCGAGCTAAACGATTCACTGGATGGATAATTCTTGGCATTTGGGGATTAATAGCCATTTACCCTACTGCTGCTGTTGCAGGCATCGCTTTACAAACCTCAATTCAAACACAAAACTTTATTCAAAATTGGACCAAAGATGCTCATACTATGTGAGCCACTCAGGCTCAGATAGATGAAAAAGTTCAAGATAAAATACAGGAACTGAGAACAGCCATCCAATGGGTCACAGATCAATTAGGAGATTTACAAAAACAAGTATTACTAAAATGTGATTGGAATTCTACCAATTTTGTATTACTCCTATTAGGTTCAACTAGAGTGCTTATGATTGGGAACAAATCAAATTTCACTTGCAAGACAGACATGATAATGCTTCCTTAAATGTACAATTATTAAAAAAAAAAATCTTTAGAGCCTTCCATAAGAGTCTGCCCCCTTCCAACAATTTGGAAACTTCAGCTGAACAGCTAGCTGGTCAGTTATCTGGGCTAGACCCTCGAGGATGGTTCCAAAGCATTACTCATAGTACTGGGTCTGGAACTGTAACATTGATAATTGTCCTGGTAATTATATTTGTAATATATCGATGCCTTTTGACTAAAATTGTTCAAACTAAACAAACTCAGTTGGTCAGGGCCTTTTTCAAAAAAAAAAAAAAAAAAGGGGGAATTGTCAGGGGACGTCCAACTTCAAGGAATCCACATGTTATTTTCTTCTTTTGTGTGCT